GCTGAACCTTTTAAGCAGGGCAAGCAGCAGCAGTATAGTGCTCAAGTGTACTTATGACAGATATGTAAAACTGAATGAGAAAACTGATTTTTATACTTAAGAACATTAAGCACCCTGCTTTTAGCCAGGTGACAGAAGTCTTGTTAATATAAGAATTTAACCATTTTCAATTCTTAAGCTTCCAAGAAGTTATTTCTAACTAGTAGTTGCCATCACCCTATTGCTTTTAGGATTTAAAGTCTGTCATCTGTTAATGCTTTAAGTAGCTTAACACTTCATTTAAATACAGCTTTGTAACCCGCAACAATTACAGGAAGTCATTGTGGCTCACTTCCAATTTTGCATGTTTGCTAGATAAAATTCCTCAAAAGGAATGTTATTTTAAAAACAAACACGGGCAAGACCACCGGATTTGCAGTAATACTATCAAAGGAAAGATTTTATTTCAGACACAGACTAGTCTAATGAACTAACCAAAAAAGTTTTCCAAAGAATCAAGAGTGCACCTGAAGGATCCCAGAGCATTTTATTAACCCCTCTTGCCACTCCAGTCAGACCACCTGTATCTTTCAAAAAAAAAAAAAAAAAAAAAGAAAGCAGAGATTAACATCCCACAGCCAAAGCCCAAACATAACACAGGGTTTGATTTCCAGTTTGCTGCTCTTGCCAGTAGGTCATAAACAAACCCTGGTTTACCACATACAAGCCACAGCCTTTAGAGCACCAAGAGTACACAGGAATATCCTTAAAGGGCCAAGAGTACAACTTCCCTTAATAGTCAAACAAGAAGGTAATTAAAAATATTATACTGAAGTCTACTTCAGAGATAAAACTGGACAGCTTCTTAAAAAACCAAAAAAACCCCAAACAAAAGAAGCCCCCAAAACCTTCTATAACCACTCAAAACCAATTCCATGAGCGCTAGTACCTGCCCCAAAGTTTATGGGGGGTATTTGGAGGTAGGGCCACATACTTAAAGATCTGGCCACCACCAGCTAATTAAGTGGGCAAGCTCTTTAATATCAGCGTTAAGGTATAAACATTTCATGGCTTTGCCACAAACCAGAATAGCAATTAGCACTCAAGTAATTTCTTGGAGATCAGACAAAAGCTAGCCCGCAAATGTAATATGCTCTACAGTGATTTAGAAATTATGCAAGTACTGCAATGAGTGTCTGAAGAGTAACATGAGGGGGAAAAAAAAAAAGCCAGCAATAAAAAACCCCATCTCCAGTTCCTAAGCAGTATGTTACACTGCTGAAGTTGCATTCACCTCTGGGCAGTCTTTAATATTTACTAATCTCTTTATTTAATCTTTGCCTGTCAACATAATTGCAAAAACCACACAATCAAGATGTTTAAAATAGGATTTCAAAACTTAACTGAATGCAAGCTGGCCTTGAATGTTGTTACAAGCCCAACAAATGGTTTATGTACTGCAACTCCGCTCTAGTCACCAGAACAAGTCAAATCTCTGAGCACTGAAATGCTGCTTCTGAAAAGGGAAAGAATAAAGCCTCTGTCTGACTAAACAGAAGCAAGAAAGGCATGATTTCTTTGAAAGGGCGGTATGTCCCACTTCGTTTGCCTATGTGCATATTTTTGTGTCTTAAGAGTAGAACTGAGAACTGCAAAATGTTCTTTCATTAGCACAGTATGATATCCAATGCAATTATGGAGGGGAAAAATACATGACATGAGTCAGTCAAATCAGACTCAGTTTTTCCTGTGTCCCAAGTTCCTTACTGGTGAACTTTTGTACCCAACGGTGACCTTTTAAGCCTCACAAACAGAGCTTGCCTTACTGCTGTTGTGCAGAAATTACACTGAGGCAGAAGCATCAGCTGCAAGAACCCCCCCCCTTTTCTTTTTTTGCTAGCAAAATAAATTCAGATGCTTAAAGCCATTACTACCTAACTCTTCAGCAAGTTTGTGTCTTTAACAGCAACAAAAAGAAGAGAGGGTAACTGGCTTGAATAACACACTTGTAAAAGCAGTTTCTTGTGACAGTATTAGAAGTATCGAGGCAACACCTAGCACCTATTACCACTCCAGTAATGCTTACAGGGGAAAAACCACCATCTGGTATAAAACTTTTCCATTTGAGCACTTTGCTGAATTTGACATTCTGTAAGTTACACTACTCTACAACTAGGTATTAGACAATCCAGAATGTTACATTTGTGTTTATGAAGCTTTAAAGTCTAAAAGGAATTAAGTTTGTATCAACATCTATTAAAATCTGAATTAGCTTCAGTGGTTCTTCTTTTCCTTTACCAGACAATACGTTCAGTGTGCAATAAAAAAGTAGAGTCCATTTGACCTACTCCCGTGCAGCTTTTTAATTTTGCACTTATTTTGTGTTTTCCCCTCCCCAAGATAAAAAAACTGAAAGAAAGCTTTCCTTGTGTAAGAAAGGACAATTTTAAACATCTGCAACCAATTTATATTCTAAAAGTTAGTCTTACATTCAATTAATTCAAAGTTGCCAAAGGAACACAAATAAAGCCAATTCATCAGGCATCTTTGGCATTTTAATGATATCTCTCAGCCTGGTTCAGTAGTAAAAACGCATCCAACTATAAAATCTCTCTTTAACCTTCTTCTCATCTCCCCCCCACCCCAGTAACTGCAATAGGTTAAATAACACCATCATTAAAAGTAAAGGAAGTCTGAAACTACAAACGCTACACAAGCACAAGCTCTTCTCCTGAGGCTTCCACAAACCACATGCAGTGCTAAATGGCAGACATGATATATTTGGTTTATGTGTGCTGGCAGCAACAATTATATTTGCAGTAAAATCCCACACTGGCCAGAGAAAAATCTTTGAGCTGCTACGAATGTACACCCAGTTGACAAAAGCTGCTTTTCCCTCCCTCTCTGTTCAAGTAGTCTGCCTCAGCCTTACTACACATGGAAATATTTAACACTAGTTGCCAGCACTGAAACAAGTCACCACCTTCTTAAAAAAAAAAAAAAAAAAAACCAAGAAGAGCTTAAGTCTAGCAGGGTGATTTCTTTCTCACCCATTTTACACTTGATTTGTGGGAGAACACTGTATATTTCTATTGGCTTTATTTCTGAAAATAAGGTTTGCAAGCACTGGCAGTGGCTCCTCTCTCCTGAGAGTTCAGTGACTAACATTACATTAGTGTTGTGAAAACATTACTTCACACCAAACACAAATACAAGGCCTCTGCTGAATTTAGCATTACCACTTCTAAAGTACACCCAACCTTAGCAAATTAAGACTCCTGGGTTCACATCTCACCCGCTAAGGTATTCATTTCATAGATGGAGATGTTGCAATTTAGGTGACATGCAGCATCATGACATACTTGGCTAACACTATAAAAAGGCAGAATATTTTACATTTTATTCCTACCCATTTCACTTCTATTTCACTCGTATTTACCTCATGGACAGCTATTTTCACATTGTTTTAATTCTTTATTGCATAATAAGCAATATTATCTTGAAATCTTTAAAAAGAAGAGTAGGTTGCACATTATTTGTGACAGTTATCCAATAATCATTGGAGATTTGGTCAAAGATTGGTTGATATAAAATACCCACCTAGCAGTCTTCACTTGCGGGGTCTCAATGTAAAGTTAGTAAGATTCAGTATTCAGTTATAAGAAACTTCATATCAACTATTAGCTTTAAAGGAGAAGAGCATTTAACAAATTCAAGAGAATTTATCAGACAAATTGGTTTTGGTTACAGATACTTATAAATAACCATCAACGAATGCACCAGTTACATCAAGGTTGTCTTTTAATATTCATGAGGACAGATTTTATTTTTAATTTCAAAAAATAAGCCACGCAAGATTTAGAAGCCCCCCAAAACCATTTGTTACATCAAGCGTACTGTGCTCTTGCTTGTCAGATAAACCACGTACTTCTTACCTCTTCAGATCAACTGTTGTGACGCTAAACACCACTCCCTTCAGCCAAAGAATCATGAACAGCCTCTGAGAAAAAGGACAGTTTCCTATGCTTTCACCATCACTGCCAGCCTGCAGAACAGAACAGATCATTAATTAGAAGGTAGGACTGTGCCATCTACAGATGGTCACAATTACTGAAAGGACTCGGTAACAATTCATGGATTTCATTGCCTGTGCAGTCTTCACATCACTAACTCCTCCAAAGACCTAACAAGCTCACAGTCAAACCTAGTGTCATCTTGCAGGAACACTCCTTTGCTCTCAAAGTCCAGATATCCTGAAGGTGTGTCCATATAATGCACAAAAATGAGCATCCTCAGAATGTTTAGATTTGCTTCATATACTGGGAAGGTATGCATGGACTTCTGCACCACTTTGGTTGTGGGTTTTTGTTGTTCGATTGTTGGTTTTTTTAAAAATACTTGCACCTTTCAATGATTTTTGTTGCTACAGAGATAATGAGGATTTTATTACAGTGAAATTTGCACATTTATGAAGTCAACTAACCTATTTACTTGTCATGTCCTCTAACAGCTGCTCACAAAACGTATCGAAACAAGATTTCGGACAACAAAATAAGTTATCTTTCACACTGAAGATGATCCAACTGCTCTTAACAGTCAAGCAAAGGGTAGCTAATCATATTCGTCTGAGCAGCCACACCTTTTGATGGCAGTTTTCCAATGTCAATATTGTTCTCTGTTCTTTATTATTTTTTCTTTCTTCTACAAGGCATAGCTAATTAATTGTAGTCATCTTCCAGTTTATTGCTTGTATCTCACTGTGTAGTGCTATAGCAAGCCAAACGCAACCAGGAACTATGAATCTTTATTGTATTGCAGGTGTTGTAAGGAAAGGCATAAGTACATAGAGACTTCACTGACAATAAAGTAATATTCCAAAGCCACTTTTTATAGGCAATTTATCAATAAGTCTTTGTCCTACCACAACAAAGGTCTATTACATAGCAACAGTAAGTCACTCCAGGGCACCCAGTGATGGCATGCATCGCATGATTGCTCTGACAATGAAGTATGTATTGCTGAGTTGGAAAATTTTAGTTTTTAGTGGGCTAGAATTAGGCGCACAAAACCTTGACTCTTGTTATAAAATTCAATCCTCTGAAAGGAAAACTGGTTCAGTAGTTAAAACAGCCACGTATGTCAGATTATCTTGACACGTACTTTACATTAGACAAGTTTCAAAGGATTTTGCTTATTATGAGTACTTCCAAGAATAATTTAATCAGTACAATTCTCAAAACCTGGCTAATGCTTTCATCGTTACTATTACCTGTTCCCTACGCCATTTTATAACATACTGTAGGACATGCTGGCTGTACCCCTCAGAAAAATGACAGAAAACAATTATGGTCACTAAGCACAGGGTACTTAGACACAGAGCTACACAAGTGGAAGGGTTGAACGCAAGGCCTGAGCGTTGACTGGTGCAGATCCAGCTTTTTAAAAAAGGGAAAAGAAGAAAAACCAACAAAAAGTGTCATCACAAGAGAACTATGCTTTAGGACCAGAACTAACTAGAGAAAGGTTTAGACACTCAGGCAAAGCAACTGCTTTATCTTCTATTCTCTGCCAGTTCCCAGCCATGCACTGGCCACATTGGGGAGAATGAAGAAAGACTTTGCAAGTTAAGAAGAGTAACAGTAAGATTTTCAAAGGTCAGGAAAATAGAAAGTTTTTCAGTGAAACTGTCTTAAATTCAGAAAGCTACTTTATTTTTTTTAAAAAACCAACTCATGGTGCCTTTGCAGATAAGGCTAAGACTCTTTTAATAGTTGTTGATAAATACCAGGGCAGGAGGATTCATAAACTGATTTATGTTGCCTCAAGCTTATGGTCTCATTTCTACAAGTATCCCTCCTGTCAAAGCTGACTATCCTTCTGAATCCTTTGTTGTGCAGAATATATAGAGCCATTTTTCTTCAAACCTTTATTATAAATGAAGATTTGAAAGAAAAAAGAAGTTAGTCTTTCTGCCATAAATTACAAATAGCCTCCTTTATCTTTGGAAAGTAAAACTTACAGCAGATTAATGATACTAGATTGTCTTAAAAGCTGGCATGTGACTTCTCAGTGTTCAGGAAACTAAATTGTAAAAGCATCTAAAAAATTATAAAACAGAGTCAGTTTGGTTACTCTGGGCATTCTGCTTTATGCTACCTCAATCCACAATTTCCTATCATGCATGTAACTGCTGTAAGGGTTCTAGCTACTCTACAGATTAATGTGTCCCTCCCTCACAAGATGCTTACATAAAGAAAGACTTCACTCTGCAGACTATTTCCAATACCTGTATGCTTTTATGCATGTTAATATTTAACCGCAATGCCCATCCCTCCAGATAGCACTGTATATTTCAGAATTTTTCACTATAGCTACATACTGTGTTTACACTGGAACAGACATTTCCTGCAAGTAAATTATGCCAATGTAGATTTATACTCATCTACCTTTTTGTTCTGCAGTGTGCAAGATCTTACCTTCCTTTGAAAAATGGTATGGAAAAAGACAACACTTCATCCCATCTAAGGAAAATATAAGTTTTTACACCATGGGATCACAGGATATCCTGAGTTGGAAGGGACCCATGAGGATCATGAGTCCAACTCCTGGCTCCACACAGGACCAGCCGAATCAGAGCATATGCCTGAGAGCGTTGTCCAGACACTTCCTGAACTCAGTCAAGCTCGGTGCTGTGACCACTTCCCTGGGGAGCCTGTTCCAGTGCCCGACCACCCTCTCGGTGAAGAACCTTTTCCTGACATCCAACCTAAACCTCCCCCGTCGCAGCTTCATGCCGTTCCCTCGGGTTCTGTCACTGCTCACCAGAGGGAGGAGATCAGCGCCTGCCCCCTCGCTCCCCCTCGTGAGGGAGCTGTAGGCCGTGATGAGGCCTCCCCTCAGTCTCCTCTTCTCGAGGCTGAACAAACCAAGGGACTTCAGCCTCTCCTCATACGTCTTCCCCTCTAGACCCTTCCCCATCTTTGTTGCCCTCCTTTGGACACTCTCCAATAGTTTTATGTCCTTATTGTACTGTGGCACACAAAACTGCACGCAGTACTCGAGGTGAGGCTGCACCAGTGCAAATAGCTGTACCAGGAAGTTGTCATTGAGGTGTTTCAGGAAACTCCTGGACCTGCTGGTATCAGCTGTGTGGTGTTCCCAGTTGACGTCTGGAAAGTTGAAGTCCTGCATAAGGACAAGGGCAGTTGATTTAGAGGCATCTCTTAGCTCCTTAAAGAATAATTCATCAGTGGCGCCGTCCTGGCTGGGTGGTCTATAGTAGACTCCCACAATGACATCCCCCTTATTAGCTTGTCCCTTAATCGTTACCCAGAGGCTCTCAACCATGTCATCACCAACCCACAGCTCTCTACAGTCCAGCCCCTCTGTTACATAAAGTGCCACCCCCCACACCTCTCCTGCCCTGCCTGTCTCTTCTGAAGAGCCTGTAACCATCTGTCACAGCACACCAGTCACAGGACTCTTCCCACCAGGTTTCACTTGTGCCAATGACGTCATAGCACTGGGACTGAGCCAAGGCTTCTAGCTCTTCTTGCTTGTTCCTCATGCTATGTGCATTGGTATAGAAGCATTCCAGATGTGCATCCACGCACCCAGCACCTCGTGGAGCAGACTGAAGAATCTTACCAGCACACAACCCGTCTGATTGTGGCCTGCCTTCCCATAGCTCGTCACTGCCGATGTAGTTACACTTCAGCTGGGCTATTGGTCTAAACCTGTCTCTGACATGGTGCCCCTAGGCTCATCTCTAGCAAGCCTGGTTCCATCCCCTTCCCCCTTCAGATCTAGTTTAAAGCCCTCTCCAGGGCTAGAATCCTTTTCCCCCTTTGAGACAGGTGGACCCCATCTGTCGCCAGTAGGCCTGGTGCTGAATAGACCACCCTGGGATCAAAAAAACCGAAATTCCACTGGCGACACCCGCCTCTGAGCCATGTGTCGATCAGGTGAGTTTTCCTGCTCCTTGCAGTGTTTACTGCCCAGGCTAATTCACACTTTGAAGCAGAAACAATTCTTTGATTCAGACCTGATCTCGGTCTTCAAGTTTTATGGCAATTTCAACAATGCTACTTAAACCAAAGCACACAAGTTATGCTGCAGTAACAGCATTGGTGTGCGTGCCTCCATACAATTAAGCTTTACCTCACTCTCTCCAAAGGAAAGGCTACCATTTACTATAAAGTGAAAGGAGGAACGTGAGCATTTACCAAAGTGCAACACCCTAAGAGCATAAAGCCATACCTTGAGGCACCTCACAGGAACTGCTCACACTGCCGTTCTCAAGCAGCTCTCGATCTGCCACACTTGGCGCATCTTCAGCCTGTTTTGCTCACACGAGCTGCATTTACAGGAACCAGTGCATAGAATCATTCAGTGGCCTGGGTTGGAAGGGACCTCAAAGCCCATCTAGTTCCAACCCCTGCCATGGGCAGGGACACCCTCCACTAGCCCAGGTTGCCCAAAGCCCCATCCAACCTGGCCTTGAACACTGCCAGGGAGCCAGGGGCAGCCACAGCTTCTCTGGGCACCCTGTGCCAGGGCCTCAGCACCCTCACAGGGAAGAATTTCTTCCTAAGATCTAATGTCAATCTCTCCTCCTTCGGCTTAAGGCCATTCCCCCTGGTCCTGTCACTCCATGCCCTTGTAAACAGTCCCTCTCCAGCCGTCCTGTAGCCCCTTTAGGTACTGGAAGGTGCTCTAAAGTCCCCCCAGAGCTTCCTCTTCTCCAGTTTGAACAACCCCAACTCAGATTAGCTCTCCTCACTGTTCAGCTTTTATTTAGCACTTATGACCTCAAAACCAAAGACCAGAGCTGGTGCAATACGACATACATTGCCAGAGATCTCATCTGATATGGACTAAGGAAACCTTTGAATAGAAAAAATAAAGGCATGTAACCAAAGGAAGAATCACTGGGCTGCAACTGCCTGCCATGAACGTATAGACAATCCTCAGCACCAAATGAAGTCCAGAGGCTTAGCTTCAGTATCACAACATTGACAAATGTAATTAAGGCATCTCCTGAGCAGAATATTAAATTAAATAAGC